AAGGAAGGAAGGAAGGAAGGAAGGAAGGAAGGAAGGAAGGAAGGAAGGAAGGAAGGAAGGAAGGAAGGAAGGAAGGAAGGAAGGAAGGAAGGAAGGAAGGAAGGAAGGAAGGAAGGAAGGAAGGAAGGAAGGAAGGAAGGAAGGAAGGAAGGAAGGAAGGAAGGAAGGAAGGAAGGAAGGAAGGAAGGAAGGAAGGAAGGAAGGAAGGAAGGAAGGAAGGAAGGAAGGAAGGAAGGAAGGAAGGAAGGAAGGAAGGAAGGAAGGAAGGAAGGAAGGAAGGAAGGAAGGAAGGAAGGAAGGAAGGAAGGAAGGAAGGAAGGAAGGAAGGAAGGAAGGAAGGAAGGAAGGAAGGAAGGAAGGAAGGAAGGAAGGAAGGAAGGAAGGAAGGAAGGAAGGAAGGAAGGAAGGAAGGAAGGAAGGAAGGAAGGAAGGAAGGAAGGAAGGAAGGAAGGAAGGAAGGAAGGAAGGAAGGAAGGAAGGAAGGAAGGAAGGAAGGAAGGAAGGACGGAAGAAAGGAAGTGAGGTGGTGGAGGGGAACGATGCCACATGAACGGAAAGCGGATGCGCTCAATGGGAGAGAGAGAGAGAGAGAGAGAGAGAGAGAACACCGACCAGCCTTGGCTGAAGCACCGAACGGCCAGTCACCCCTCAATAGATGGAAGCTCGAGCGCATGCGCCCCGCTACTCGACTCCCACACCGGCTATTTTTAACGATTACTTTAACCGCGAATTTTTTCCTTACTCCGAGGGTCCTCGTCGCTTTCAATGAAGAGCCCCGACACTCGAGCCTTCGGCGGGGAATTATGGCGGAGAAGGCCGATTGGCGAGGGGAGGGATGAGGGATGAGGGGGGGGGGCAGAGGTCGTCGAGGGGGAAGAGGCCGCGACCCCCTTTTCATTCACCGAGTAGTTCTTCAGAGACGAGTCGCGCTTTTCGATAAGTCGTTCGAATTTGTGCGCCGCTCCGAATCAATGAAACTGACAGCTGCGCAGAGGCATCGTTGTGGCCGAGTCGAGGGCGGAGGGGGAAGCCACTTTGTTCATTCATGTTTCATGACGATACCTCGGCCCGTCCCAAGAGAATTATAGAAGAAACGAGTATTTAGGATATCGTGGCCATCTCGCCTCGGGTTCTCGTTTCCCGCACCCTCTTTCACTCGATAAAATATTAATTCCCTCAAAGTTTTTTTACGCGGAGCTAACAACAGTCACCGCTCCCGTGCGCTATCAATTTTGTTTATCAGTCAGGACAATCGATTGGTCGAAAGGAAAATTTAGGGCCCGCATCCAACGAATAAGGCTGTATAATATTTGCTTACATTTATATTCGTTGTCATCATTCGAGGCCTGAAATTATCCTTGCAAATGGCCTGATTTTTATCGGCTCGCTCGAGAATTTTGAAATGACCCGAACTTACGACTAGGATCGGCTCTACCGCAGCTTAATCTCAGTACGGATAAAGCTAACACTCGGACAAGGATTTATTCCATATCGATACTTTTCTTTAAAACTTGATTTTATCGACTAATTGACATTGCTCTTTGTCCTTACGCTTTCCTTCCCTCATCCATAATTCACAATGCTTCTATAAAGATAAAATGGAAAAATCATTCGAGAACATAGTAGACATTTTGAAAAGACTCGAGACAAGCATTTGCAATAAACTAACTCCCTAACTCGTTACCTGAAAATCGAGCGTGCGCGCCTCTAGATTTTCGCCCAATACTCATTTTCATCCATATCCCTTCGTCTAATCCCGATGGAAGATAACGTCGACGTTCGATCGTCGCAAAGAGCGACAGCTCGACGTAACCTCGTAAAGCACCGAGGCGCGCATCCTCCCAGTATGCATTCCTAAGTGCTGCTCCGTGTTTGCGAGAATATTATCGTTGAGACGCACCCCTTATAAACCTTCATGCGACGCGTGCATTTATAACCGATATTTATGATTCTGGTCGACCTTATTCATTGACGTTGCAACCGACGCCGTCGACGGAAACGAATGGGGAAGCGCGATTATTACCGCGCAGTCGATACACCGTAAACCGCATCGATGGTTAGTAAGGGGAATCATTGCGACATAAAGTTAACGCGATATTAGTTTGCTGTAAGCAGTGCGAATCCGTATCGCTGCGCTGACTCTTCGTAGTAGAGGCGCTAAACGTTATCCGGGAATAGCACGGAGCCTAATAAAATAAAGCAACACTTGGCTGTTTATTTGATGAGCCGAGCCGGGAAATTGCGCGCGCTGCACTTTTCTGCCTCGGCACGGCACAATTACGACGCCGATGACTCGACGTGCCTATCGATTTTGTTTTTTTTTTGTTTTGTTTTTTATTTTCTTACATCGGACGCTATTTTCGCGCCTGTCGCCGAAATAACGCGAAAAAAGGTCTCATGGTGCGACGTATTTACGTTGACGTCCCGAGGGGATATTTCGGGAGCGGTTTCAGGGTTAGCCGTTGGCGGACCGATCGCCACCGATCGGCGGCTATTTTCGATCGGCGGCTAATCACGTGGGATTCTCCGAGCGCGTCACTTTTCATTGCAAGCGCGTGATCGAATGTGCAATTTCTTCTTGACGCTGTGTTGAGTGCGAAGACTAGCCGAGGAGACGATCGAGCACCGGACCAATTCGAAAGCGAGAAACTTTCCGCGCGGTGCTTCATTTTCTGCAGCAAGAAATTTCCGAGCCGCGTTGGTTGTTCTTTCGTAATTTTATTTTATTTTTTTTTTTATTATTTTTTTTTTTGTTATGCTACCAAAGCCGTTTACATCGCGCTAACTTCTATTTCTGCACTAGATAACGCTGCTTACATCGTTTACTCACAACTATTATGGAGAAACTACGTTATGGAGCTAGTGCAATTGTGCAGAGCTGTATGAATCTCGTCAGTACTTATAAGTAATTAATCCGCGTGCTCGATAACGAAACGATATGGCTATTGTTGATAGCAGGTTCAACATCGCTTTATCAACTGCAACCGAGACTGCAGAATGCTGATTGGACAAAATTTGAGAACGATGAGTGTTAACTTTGTTGGTGCTACCCACGTGACTGGGCTACATGCCATTTAATCTCAGCTTGAGAGTTGTTGAATTGTTGAATGGCTAATGATTTTCGAAAATTAATGGCCCTAGTAAATTTTCGCGCTTCAGCGTGCGAATATTTCCTAGTGACAACCTCGCATTAAAATAACCGTAACTCAGTATAATGAGCACTCGGACACTTGGGGGAAGCGAATAAAGTAAATATAACTCGATAAATTTTCAATTTCACGTTATACTATTCGCACACGGCGGTACTATCAGCATACTCAACACTTACATTTGTTTTCTAATTACATTCGTTTTATTATCCATTGTACATGGCATAATTATAAATTTGCGCCAGAGTAGCTATTCACAAATTAATTTCGACCTTTAAAATTCTCAAACATTCCCTGATATATGAAGAAAACAGACGACCCACAATAAACTTAATTTTATCAACTTCTAAAGAAAATAAAAGAAAGGTGATATATATTTTTGCATTACTTTCTTCTCTCGTTTCAAATTTGATACAAACATAATAAATTCCATTGTAAAGAAGAATTGACATACTTCAACGAATTCTTAACAGTGCGCAATGAACTGTTATTGTTGAAATGGGAAAGGTCTCACAATAAACGTAATTGCATACAACACACATTTAAATCAGGTACGTAATACGGAATTCTCTCTCTCTCTCTCTCTCTCTCTCTCTTTCTCTCCATGCTTCCATCCCTCCCCCGCCCCTATTGCCGATTAATAAACTGTATGTCCCCCGCCAATCAATGGGAGAGTGGGCCGCCGAAGGGTGGGGACTTTTTATTAAAGAGTCGAGCGCACATTGAGGATTGAAGTTGCCCCGAGCGATGGCGGGGGTAAGCGACTATCCCCTTCCCTTCTGTTGTACGCAGTCCTCCCTCTCTCCATACACCAGATCTCGCAAACCAACACATTTTGAGTTTCGAGGTCGAACGAAAACTCGATGTCGGGAAAATTTTGTGCAAAGTTGCATTTCATCGGTTGAAAAAAATGATCGGGTATTCTTTCAAACGTATTCTCAATTAGAATTGTTTAAGCAAAAGCGATTATGAGGTCAGTGAGGTTCTTCCGCAAGTCTTTTCTCAAGAATGAAACCGCTACGAGGAAATGAGGAATTAAGCATTGTTTACGTTTTCTTGGTAAATGAGAGCCGCGTCTTTGTTAATTGAATGCAATGATGCTTAAGGAGCGTTAATCGAACGTTAGTCGCAAACCGCATGGAGAATTCAAATGGTTATAAATTTGGAACTAAATTTCCCATTTCAATGTGAAGTCATACATTTTCAAAAGTAGACATTCAGTTTATCTGCTTACACTTTTCTAACTGAATCCCGTTGCTTATGAACATTTCCTTAACTTACAATTCATGTAATCAACGTACAAAAAAAAAATGGCCCACAATTATCCGAACAATGTATTTTATTTAACAATTATTTAATAATTTGATAAAAAGTATTATTTTAAGAAAAATAATTTCATAAAGGAGCTACAAAGCAAAGTGCACCTTACTCTCAGGCGTACTCTACTTCTCTCAAATTCTCACGTGCCCTGGAGCCAGCTAATGAGCTGGGGGTAAAGGGCCGGGGGTAAAGCGCCTGGCGCAATTTTCATCAGCAACTTTCCATTCGTCGCTCGTGAGCGGGAGGGATGCCGACCCTCCTGTCCCGACTCCCTACCCCTACCCCTACTACTACGTTGACGTAGCTGCAGCAGTTCAGCGTGGATATACGAGCCGTACGGACGACTCGAGCTGGCAGTTGCGTCTCAGTCGCCGTTCAAAGTGTAAGAGGAGAAAACGAAGCGAGTAAGAAGAGAGAGAGAGAGAGAGAGAGAGAGAGAGAGAGAGAGAGAGAGAGAGAGGAAGAAGAAGCGCTACGCGCACCGGAAGAATCGAGCCTT